ACACACATGTCTGGTCAGCTATCCTTGTGGGGACTCTCCATAGGCGTAATGGTTTTTCTACTGTACAGACCGTATATTCTATTGCCCTACACCAACCCTAGCCCTAAACCTACCCCTCACAGGAAACTTTGTGCATTTTTATTCATTCAAAAAACTTTTATTAGCTTGTTTACCCGTAGGGACCTCAATTTAGGTCCCCACCGTGACACGAGTCCCCATGAGTCTGTGTATATTCAGGTTTAAGTCCTCACCAGAATAGAAAAACAGGTACACACACACACACAAACAAACATGTACAGATTCATGCACGGGGATACATTGACTCACTCGGTTCTGGCTCTGCATAAACAGATCCAATACTTCCTGCCGAACCTGATCATAGTTCTTATCCAGGAATTTATGGACCTAAAATCAGTACAACCCTTTGTGAGATTCTGTTTTCACAAGCTGTTATCATTAAAACCTCAGTTACAAATGGTAAATTAATTAAAAGTTACTTAATTCATTGGCCTCTGACTTTTGGCATTAATTGTGTAATTAAAATACTGCATGTGCAATTAGTATGTCTATTACCTGGTAAGTTACACGACCAGCATAGTGATAGACAGTGAACTCTGGCAGTGGCATTTTTGGCTTGGAGTAAAGGGGGTTGTTTCCATGATGATAGTGGCACTTCTGAAGGAAGGTGTTGTCAGTGGCCTGTCAGCAAATGTTAAAACATGTGGTTAATAGACTTTTTTTCATTTATCCCCATTCAACATAAAAATGTAAGTTTGTAACCTGTGGAAAGCAGCTCTGGTCATCAAGGATGCGCAGTATCCCATGGGGCTTTGCAGCAATAAGGTCTATGCATGCCTGGTTGTCAGTGAAGGACAGTTCTTTCCAGTTGATTTGCTCTCGAATGTACTCCTCCTATAGAGACGTGCAGAAAGAAAGTGTGCAATTTAATGTTTGAAATCAGAGAAATATAGTGTGTTCGGGGTCAGTAAGATTAAAAAAAAAAGAAATTAATTCTGTTATTCAGAACTGATGCATTAAATTGATCAAAACTGACAGCAAAAAAAATGTTATAAAAGATTATAAAATAAATAAATTAAGCAGCACAACTGTTTTCATTATTGATAATAACAAGAAAGATTCTCGAGTACCAAATCAGCATATTAGAATGATTTCTGAAGGATCATGTGACACTGAAGACTGGAGTAATAATGCTGAATATTCAGCTTTGCATCACAGGAATAAAGTTTAATTTTAAAATATATTAAGATAGAAACAGCTGTTGTAAATTCTAATAATACTTTACAATACTACAGTTTTTACTGTATTTTTACTGATTTATTTTACAAATAAATACAGCCTCGATGAGAACAAGAGACAATAAAACATCTTACGACCCCAAACCTTTGAACAGTATTGTGCATATTAATTCTCACCTGTTCCTGTTTGAAAATGATTTTGCTGAAGAAGAACTGCAGGCTCTCATTAGCATAGTTGATACAGAGCTGCTCAAAGCTGTTGAACGTCAAGCTCTGGACAACACGTATCAAGATGACATGGAGATATATGCAGTTAATAATGGTACTTCTGCTCATCTCAATGGTAAATATTATTTTGTATGTTTAGAAGGGTCTAAATTCCCAAAAATAAAAACCTGCACACTTAACCTTCAAGGTAATAAATGTGTCAAAATGTGTTTGTAGGTGTGTTCGGGAGTGCTACTGTATACCTCAAACCCGTATATATCCAGTAAAGATATGGACAGCGCCTCGTTCCTGGGGTAGACCCGCCCATTGATACGTTCTGTCAGCCATTGAAAGAGCAAGGAATAAAGGATCTTGGCAACTGCATCTCTGTAATTGCAGTGGAGAAAAACATACTTGAAATGCAATGAAAACAATATCGCAAATAACTAGAAAATGTGTTTCGTATTGTGTACCTGGCATCCACAGCACTTTCTACTGAGAGGGGAGTGTATATCTTCTCTCTCATTGCCTCCTATGAAGAAACCAAATAACATACCGTTCGGCTTAGGTAGTGCATATGTTTAAATAAATATTTAATCTTATGAACATAAAAGAAAGCACAAAAGCCAAATTATGTGTAAAGACAACCCCAAAATGACTAAAATGTGTGAGTATCTAACCAGCGTGTGATCCATTGACATCACATTTTTGTGGTACTGTATGCTACTTCACTGGGCACTTTGCTTTACTTTGCAAAGTATTTTAAAATAGATCTTTTGATTATATGTCTAGAAATACCTCAATTTTATGACCCATCTTGCCCGGAAGTCAGGGAACAGGCCTGGATACAGTTTCACCCTCACACACACTCTATGTTACTCACACAAGTCACAGTCAGTGTGTGCAACTGATACAGTGTTATGTGACAGCTGATCCAAGTAAGTGCTGGTGTAAACACAAACCTGTAAGCTCTGGATAACAGAGCTTTACTTATTAAAACATGACACAAACACACTGGCAATCGCACTGTATTCATGTAACACTTCACATGTAAAGCAAACATGAAAAAATGCTTTAAATGTGATAGAAATAACAAAATGTGTTTGGGTGTATTTAACAAAAAAAATCCATGTCACATTTCATTCATTTCATTTTGAATATTCTCATATGTCCTGATGTACTAATTCCTATAATTGTAAATTAGCATTCATTACTATTACTGTATTACTGTCATTTACTTCAATCAGCATAAATTAAAAGTAGTATAACAAATGCTACCATTGTGTACTTTTTTTTGCATTACACTATTGAGAATGAGATTTTTTTTTGCATTAGAAGGAAAATGTTCTTATTAAGAGTATCAATGTTCTATTTTCTAGAAATACAAAATGTATTGTGAATAATGCTTTAGAAATAAAACTGACCTGACTTTATCTTGTCTGTGCTTGGTAACCTACATTGATCTTTGTATTATGTAATTTTAAATGAACCAAAAGTGACAGTAAAACAAATAAAATCCAAATAATCCATATTTCACCCCAAAACAAAAAAATAATTTGTAAAGATTTTTATTATTATTATAATTTAACACTTTTATATATTTTAGGATGAAATTTGTGATAATTCTGATATATTACTTTGTTGTGTTTTTGGAATTCCTATTATTGTAAATCAGCATTCATTCATTACTATTACTCATTATTATTCATCATTATAATAGACATGCTTTTTAATAAAACAAAGCAAAAAAAAATCTGAACTTATTACTGATACTGATTTTTTAAAATATATTTTATATTTGAATTCGCATAAATTAAAGATAGCACAACAAATACTACCATGGTACATAAATACTAAAAGGGGATTAGGGACACTGAAATGTTCCATTTTCTATAAATACAAAATATGTGAATAACACTATATGAATACAACTGGCCTGACTTTGTCTTGTCTGTCCTCGCTAACCTTCATTGATCTTTGTGTGATGTAATGTTAAGGTATCCTGGCAGTGAGCGAGCTATTAGGTGTTAAGATTACTCAAGCCCTGAGCAACTCCTGATTAGATTACTGTGGTTTCCACAGAGCTGAACTCAGAATAATTAAATTAGGTTACTGGAACTCATTAACAGCAACCTGCTTACATGTCATTACAATGTCTCCTTTTCTCTCACCCTTTTTCTCTTTCCTCTATCAGAAGATTGGCTAGAGTTCAGTGCATATGCAAGGTGGACAATGTGAGTCTGAGATGGTTTCCACATCAAACCTGTTATATTTCAAAATAAAAGTGGCCCAAAATACCACATGCTGTTGTTCAGAGCACATTATGGATGTATGTACCGTCACTTTGAAGGTGATGGCTTTTTGCAGACCCTCTGGGGAAATCTGCAACAGATCGGCTACTGCACGAATCTCCTGAGTGCTCACCACACCAGCTGTCTCCTGCACTTCTGTCTGAGACAGAGAATCCAAAGCACAAGGTTCACAAGACTGATTACTTTGCTCATGTAAGTGTGCTATATTTGCATAAAACTACTGAAGGACTTTCAGATGTTTAAGTGTACAATACCTCCACTCTTTGGAAAAAGACATTGCCCAAGTGCAGTATGGACGACAGCACTCTGAATATGCTGCTCTGGTCTTCAGGACTGAAGTGGAGAATGTCCATGGCACTCTGTAGCCTTCTAAAGTCCTCCCCATCATCCTTCCCAGTGATCTCACAGTTACCACCCTAACATGACATGATACCATGAACATAATTATACATAATTATAAATAATGATGACAATAAAACCACCAGTAGGTGGCAGCAAATCCCTGTTTTAAAAAATGATTCATTGAATCATTCAAATCAAAGGATTCGTTCAAAATGGCTGATTCAATTAGAAACAAAACAAGTGAGACTATGGACCGCTGAATCACTGGCTCACTCGATTCGATGAACATAATTATACATAATTATAAATGATGATGACAATAAAACCACCAGTAGGTGGCAGCAAATCCCTGTTTAAAAAAAATTATTCATTGAATCATTCAAATCAAACAAATCGTTCAAAATGGCTGATTCAATTAGAAACTAAACAAGTGAGACCATCTGAATGGATCGTTGAATCACTGGCTCACTCGATTCGATCAAAAACTGATTAATTCAAGGAACGAAACACCGCGTTGCTCTGCACTGTTGTATAAAATTAATGGCACATTTGTGCTCGCGCACATGTGCTGATATTCAGAAAAGTACATTGCTTGTGCAATGAATATAAAAACTTAAAAGGGTCATATGATGCGATTTCAATTTTTCCTTTCTCTTTGGAGTGTTACAAGCTCTTGGTGCATAAAGATGATCTGTAAAGTTGCAAAGACTAAAGTCTCAAATCCAAAGAGATATTCTTTAAAAAAGTTAAGAGTCAGCCACGCCTACCTAAAACGGCTCGTTCTAACACGCCCCCACATGTCTACCTCACTATGTGGGAAGATTTGCATAACGCCACCAAATGTTCACGCAAAGAAAGAAGGCGTAACTTTTATTCTCACTGTTGTATTGTTGTTGCCGCCGCCGCCATGTCGTGAAGGTGCTGTGTGCTTCGTTGTGAAAGCGAAACTACTTTGTTTGGTCTTCCAAAAGAGAACGATATCCGCTTCGTCTACGCGCTTCAGAAAGGCGGGAGATAGAGGAGAAACAATAATGTACAGTATGTGGAAAATAATGTTTTTTGAACCTTAAACCGCATAAACACATTTCATTACACCAAATACACAAAATAATGTTCTTTTTAGCAGCATCATATGACCCCTTTAAACACTCATACATGGCTATTTTTTCTTTCATTGCTTGAATTATAAGGGCATTCTAACTGCATTCTAATAGGCTTCATCACGCAGTGAATGCTTTTGGACTCTCAAGATGTGTTTTTGTTTGGTTTTTGCAAAGTCTGTGATTTGGTAATGTCTGCTCTGCTGTCATCTCTCAATCCCTCACAGTCACACATACAGCACAATAACATATGCCAGGGGAATGTCTTTAAATTCTAATCAAGGAAAAATCATACCTTTTCTGTTGTCTTCTTTTTAAAGAACTTTAAAAGTTGCGCTTGAACCATTTTGCGCAAAAAATGCCGAAAACAATTGCTTTGTATTGATGTCTATGGTGTGTCTTGGTAAATGCCTCTATTTACCTGGTTCAGGTAGTAGTAGGTTTCAGCCTCCTGTAGGTAGAAGGCCCGTTTCGTGTGCATAGGAAGTCCAGCCAGCATCTCATAAAAGATGTGGTAGTTTCTCTCGTCTTTGGCCTGCAGACACATGCAGACACAGTACAGATTAGGTCCCAAATGTCAGTAATTAATACATGGCTCCTTTAGCCTTTTCCCAGTTAAATGGGCAAGAAACAACAGACCTGAAAAACGATCCTGGACTTCTCCAGTAGATACTGCGAGGTTATGGCACCACTGATCACCCCTCTGATACCAATGACAATACACACAGATTGGTCAAGTGTAGGAACTTTCCTTGGACTTCTCAATTATCTTTCCATCTGCTTCCTCTCTTTAACTGTCAGAGGTTAAATAACGACCTTACTGCCCTACTTTCACATAAGGTCAGATCTAGTTCCCTTGTCGTCTCTCAAGAAACGGTTTCAGGCTTGAGAGACATTAAAGAGTTAGAAAGGCACATTACAATGGACTTGTAACGTAATGTAACATTCAAACATTCGACTTTAAATAGCTATACATATACGAACAGAAGCAATATACAACAGAAATAAATACTCACTCCTCCAAAAAGATCTCCACAAATTTTCCAAAGCGACTGGAGTTATCATTTCGGACCGTCTTAGCATTTCCAAACGACTCTAACAGAGGAGTTGCCTCGAGAATCTGGATATTAAGAAATTGAAACTTACTTCCAAAAGTATTCAGTAACATTTACTAGGTTAGAGTTTTAGGTTATCAACAAAATGTTTACCTCAATCTGTACAGAGGAAAGCATTAAATAGAAAAACAAAAATACAGATTATACGTTCATTAACAAACACTGCATAAACACAGATTCAAACAAAATTTTGTTCCAGAAATGTACTCTAATTCTATAATTAGCAAGTATTTGTCACCTGTGGTTTATGACATGTTTACAATATAAATCTAAATCAACATCATTTGTTGGACCTGGAACAACTTGTCTACCAATGACACATAATTCTAACCCTATTCCTAACAATGTTTTTTTTGTATTATTCATCTACTATTATAGTATTTATTAATAGTTAATTAATAATTGATTAGTTTATCAATATTTAAATTAGCATTTATTTTTGTATTTTTAGTTTTTGTTTAATTTTAGTTTAAATTATTTTGTTATGTGCTTTTTCTATTTAGCTTTATTTTTTAGTTCAGTTTTAGTCATTTTTAGTTCAATGTAATTTCTTTAATTTCAATTAGTTGTCAAGACAATATTTTTCAGCTTGATTTTAAACTATTTTAGTTTTAATGGTTACATTATATTTTGAGTCTACTTTAGACATTCTTCTAAGTAACTTTGCAACTACATGTCAACTTACCATCATTAGAGTATTAATAATGTTATCTGTTACGGTTAAGGTCAGTAGAATAAGTTGACAATAGAATGTCTAAAGTGGACTATTTAAATAACTTTTAGTTAAAAATAACTATACTACGGTGGCCGAGAAGTGCAAAGCAAATCACAATTCTGAAAACAAATTAGTGTAAATAGAATCCATTGCTAATACGAGATTTGAAAAGGGAGGGAAAAAAAGTTCAGCAAAAGGCGGGATCAAACCTGGGTCGATCGCGTCAAGAAGCCAACGATTTGCGTTTGTAATTTGTTATTTTGTTTTCAGAATTGTGATTTGCTTTGCACTTCTCGGCCACCGTACCATACTGATCCCTAACACAAATGCTAACTTCTAACCATTGACTATGCCAACATATAGCGCCGAGTTTGAGTCCCGACCCGTGGACTTTTCCCGATCCCATTCCCCTCTCTCTCCCACTTTGCTTCTAGCCAAACTTTACTGTCCTATCAAAATAAAGGCAAAAACGCCAAAAAAATTAATCTTAAAAAAATTATGTTGTCCATGCCCCAACTCCATCCCTTTCCTTATCCCTAAAAATTGATGTAACAGGAATGTTGTTCTAGGACAAAAAAGGACTGTGATCCATATCCCATCTGCCAAAATGTATATGAGTGATCCTTGTCTATCCTTGTTCTATATACACGTACCTGTTGTGTAATGTTCCTCTTATGGTGAATAGCAGTGAGGTACCTCAGAACCAGTTTGGTCGCCTCTGTCTTTCCAGAACCACTTTCCCCACTACAATACAAACACTTCATTAATACAACATTACATAGACATACAATACTTCCACATCTTCTACAAATGACACACTCACATACTTTCATCTGACCTGATAATGATGCACTGGTTTCGCTTGATGTCCATCATTGTAGTGTAGGCAATGTTTACAATGGCAAAGAGATGACTGGAAACAAACATGGCAGGTTTACATACTGTACATTTCTGGCAATAAAAGTATTGTAAAGGGATGAAAGATAAAATCTTAATCTTAATTTTCTTCCTGCTTCTTTTTTTAGACTTTTTATTAACACTACTGTTAAAAATTTAGGGTTGATAAGGCAAGACTGCATTAATTTGATTAAAAATACAATAAAATTGTGCAATTTAATATTTTATATAATATTTAAAATGGCATAACACTGTAAAAATACAGTAATATTGTGAAATATTATTACAATTTAAAAACAATTTTAAATGTAATTTATTCCTGTGATGCAAAGCTACATTTTCAGTAGCCATTCCTTCAGTCTTCAATGTCACATGATCCTTCAGGAATCATAATAATATGCTGATTTGGTGCTCAAGAAATATTTCTTATTATTATCAATGTTTATGTTTTCGAGAACGAGGGCATATCATCTGCCTAACTGGGTAAGTCTCTAAAAAAAAACATAAATTTGTGGTAAAATATGGACTGTAACAAAGGATATAGGAACCATTTTTTCCTTCTTTTTAGGAGTTGAAATATAAGAAAATGTGTTGTTAAGAATTGTTGTGATTGTTCAGACTCACGGTGGGTTATCTCCAAAGCCATGGCCCTCGTACTGCAGAACCACATCTGTGCCATAGATGTTAAATAGTTGGTATGGATTCACAGACACCAAAATACTGCCAATGTATGTCTGCTTAAAAGACAAGGGAGAAATTAATAATGTAGTTAGATTCACAAGAGATTTAAATTATAATGGTGAAGGTCTATTCATGCTGTTGAGGAAAACATTTTTAAAACAACTTTATTCAAACGTAAATCTGCTTACTGGCCTGTCCAGTGTAGTATTTTTGTGTAAAATAACAAAGAATGTTAAAGAAAGTGTTTCTTTTTTTTCTTTTTTTTTTCTTTTATTATAAAGTGTTTCTCTGAAGAATTTTGCAGAGATAATGGGCTGTGTGGTCACTGATTGCACAAGTACATGAGCCTGTCTGATTTGTGCATATTAGAACTTAATGTAAATCCACTTTTTCAAAGATATTTACCATATCTTTGTACACAATAATTAGAACTAGCAGACATCTTTGTGATGTCTGTGTATGCTTACTGCAATATGATTACAAGACTCACATAGATAAGCGCTTGATCAAAGCGAGTCTTCAGGTTTATCAATACTACTGCCTCAGTAAGCTCTCTGGAAAAAATAGAGGAAGAATTAGTTATTTCATATCCAATAATCATCTTTACATTTGCATATGTATATTTATGCTGACATACTCCATTTGTGTCATGTCCTCAGCTCCATCCCCTTCCCTTTTCACCCTGTAGCTGACAGTAGGCAGGCTTCTTATAGAATACATCTGTTCGAAAAATGCAACATATATGCAAACTGAGAACATTCAACGAAATCTGAGAAGACATTTTAAACTCATGCAATTACATTAGAGAATATCGCTGATGAATTAGGTCAAGTTGTCTTTTCTAGGGCCTGCTCTACAATAATGCAGTGATGATTATCACCGGTCAGCAAGGTAACCTGAGATCAGTTATAATCAGCCTTGAAAATCTCATCTGACATTCGATGTAGTTGCAGACTGCAGCTAAAACCTGATGAAGATAGGTGAGCTTGGCTGGGCCTTTTGTTAAAGCTCAAAGGCTAACAGACTTGTTACATCTGACAAATGCATCGCTGTCTACCTGACAGCGTTACTCAGTATTAAGCTTAGTGAAATTAAACCTGATTATTTATAATTCCTTCCTAATATATATATTTATATATATATATATGTTTAGCAAATTGTATAAAAACCACAAGCAAAATCATGAATTTATTGAGAAGAAAAAAAAAATGAAAGCATTATTACAGTTAGTGTCTCTGGGGCAGGAAAAATAAACTGTATTTGTAATTTCTGTTACCATTTGTTAAATAAACAAGTCAACAATTAATGTTGGCTTTATGTATTAAAAGTGATTTACCTTGTCATACCACTGTCCTTTTGGCTCCCCTTCACGATCTGGTACCCACTGCAGCTCTGTTTCTCCTGGCCTAAGACCAGCTGGTGGTGGGGTAATAAATTCCATCATTTTATCATCTCGGTACATAGACCATTTAATGAGGTTCTGTACTGTGTCATGAGGCAAGACTCTTTCTGCAGCCCAATGGTCCTCTGCAGTTTGCCCCTCTCTGCCATTCTGAGCCCAGTGATCTTCTGGACCTGGACCTTTTCGCTGTGGTGGAACTAAAACATAACGGCCATCTGGTCCAATAACCACCTGCCCAGAGGAGGTCAAATAGGTGGAGATCCCTGAAGGTAGTTGATAAGAGGCTTTCTTCAGGTCAGCATTCTTTAGAGCATCCATTAAATGTGGCGAAGTGGGGACTTCAAATCCTTGAGCGAGGACTGATCCATCAGGTAATCTGTATGTGGCCTGGCGAAGATTTTGATTTAGAAGTGCCTGTGATAGATTTGGACTGGTTTTATGTCTTCGAGTATCAGCTGAAATAATAGATCCATCCGGTAACCGGTATGTAGCCTTGCGAACATTTTCATTCTGCAAGGCATTTGAAATGTTTGGACTCCTTGGTTTATACAAAGCTTGTGAAATAACAGATCCATCCGGAAGCCTATAGGAGACATTTTTCAAACCTTCATTTCTCAGTGCGGAGGAGAGAGTTGGGGTTGTAGGTTTATAACTTGCATCAGCACTTATTATGGAACCATCAGGTAACCTGTAGGTAGCATTGCGAATATCCCGATTCTGAAGTGCGCTTGACAAATTTGGAGACTTAGGTTGATAAACTGGTCCAGTTATAACTGAGCCATCAGGTAAACGATAGCTGGCATTTCTCATTTGTTGGTTTTGAAGTGCATGTGATAAATTCGGGGAAGTAGATGTGGGCTGCCCATAGTCCGTTGTTATTAATGTGCCGTCCGGCAATCTGTAAGTTGCATTTCGAATGTTTTGGTTCTGCAGTGCACTGGCCAGATTTGGAGATGTTGGTTCCATTTGCTGATCAGCCATTATTATTGTCCCATCTGGCAGTCTATATGATGCCGTCCTAATGTGCTGATTCTGAAGTGCATGTGACAGGTTTGGTGAGGTTGGCTGTTGTTGTCCTGCTGTTATAAGAGTTCCATCTGGAAGTCTATAAGTTGCATTCCTCAGATTTGGATTCTGCAAGGCACTGGACAGGTTTGGAGAAGAAGGTTGCTGTAAATGAGAGTCGGGGTATATTATCGTTCCATCTGGAAGTCTATAAGTTGCATTCCTCACATTTGGATTCTGTAAAGCACTGGACAGGTTCGGAGAAGTTTGCTGTAAATGAGAGTCTGGGTACATTATCGATCCATCTGGAAGTCTATAAGAGGCATTCCTCACATTTGGATTCTGTAAAGCACTGGACAGGTTCGGAGAAGTTTGCTGTAAATGAGAGTCTGGGTACATTATCGATCCATCTGGAAGTCTATAAGAGGCATTCCTCACATTTGGATTCTGTAAAGCACTGGACAGGTTCGGAGAAGTTTGCTGTAAATGAGAGTCTGGGTACATTATCGATCCATCTGGAAGTCTATAAGAGGCATTTCTTATGTTTTGGTTCTGCAAAGCATTTGAGAGGTTTGGTGAGAAAGATTGTTGCTGTCGTGGGTCTACTATGGACCCAGCAGGAAGTCTATATGCTGCATTCTGGAGCTGAGGATTTCCAATTGCATCTGCAAGCATTGGAGAAGAGTGTACATTTGCTACCTGATTACCATATACTACTGACCCATCAGGCAAGCGGTAAGTGGCACCACGGAGTTGGGGGTTGTGCAATGCATCAGACAAAAAAGGAGATTTCCTAGGATCCTGCCTATATCCTGACACAGTTGTATAAGGGGAGACCATTCCCTGGACAGGTGCTCGGTATGATGCATTACGGACATTTTGGTTCTGCAAAGCCGTTGAAAGAACTGGAGATCCCCTTGGACCATAGCCAGGGGGAACACGGGATCCCCTGCGATGTAAATGTGTTCTGTAAGAAGCATTGCGGACATTTGGATTTTGAAGAGCATTGGAAAGAATGGGGCCAGCACCTGGCTCTTCAATGTAATCATAGCCTGTCTCTACCTGGGTATAGGGTGAATGTGGCCTTTGAAGAGGTGATCGGTATGAAGCATTGCGAAGCTGTGGATTGTGAATTGCACTGGAGAGAAAAGGTGATGCTGGCTGACCTGGAACTTGTTCAAATGCTTCCATTTGAGGAACATACGGGGAAGAAATAGGTAGTTGTTCAGGGATCTCACCAAACTGAGCCACTTCAGGAACATAAGGTGAACCTGGTCTTTGCATGGGCAAAATGTAAGAAGCTTCTCGGAGCTGAGCATTTTGTAAGGAATTTGACAAAAGTGGAGACGCCATCTGTTCTGTATGCTGATCCATTACAACCATTTCAGGATTATATGGTGAGGGTACTGGTTGCAATTGGGAGACATGCATTGCATTGTTTAGATTAGGGGGTTGCAGGGCAAGGGAGGGAACTGGTGAAGGTGGTTGACCAGGAACCTGTGGAACATTAATGATCTCAAGAGCATAAGGCGACATGGGCTGTTGGACGGGTGAAATATAGGATGCATTACTGACACTTTGGTTTCGGAGGACACTTGTAAGCATTGGTGACTGAGGAACACCACTAATCTGATCAAATTCTACAGGGATTGGCTCTGCGCCGATAGGCAAAGGAGATGCAAATGAAGATCCATACATCGGAGGACCAGAAAGCACAGAAGTAGGTAGAGCCCTTGGGGAAGTGGAACGCATAGGTAATGGGGAGCCATGTTTAATAGATGGATGAGGAGAGCCTGGTCTGGAGAGATGTCTAATAGAAGGCTGAGGTGATGGAGGGTGCATATGTTTTTGAGAAAGTTGTGGTGAAGGGGGCATCATGCCAGGTGCACGCCTCAGTGACTGTCCGGCCATGAGTGGACGGCCACGACCAATGGGTCTCTGTGGGTTTCTCATTGGACCAGGTGTTCCTGGAAGATTGAAACGACTTTGTTCCCTTATGCCCATCCCAGTGTGTTGACCTGAGAGTTGTGGGGAGGCTGTGAAATCCTGTGGCATCATGGACCTGTTACTATGTATGGATGGTCTAAATGGACGTACATTTTGTGTTGGTGTTCCAGAATGACCTCCTCGGCCAGGATATGGTTTCACAGCTCCCATGGGGATGTTTGGACGGCCCCTTCCTCGTAGTCGACCTCCAGGGGACCCAAAAGGTGGAGAATCCTTCATAAGGCGAGTGGACCTGCGGGAAAGGGTAGGAGAGGGGGATCTACGTTGCAGTGGTGGTTGTTGGGAGTCTGGTTCCACAGTAAAACTTCTTCTAGAGGGAGTAGGAGATACTCTTTGAGGCATTAATGGAGACAGTGGTCTGTGAAGTTCCCTCTGCTGAACATTGGCCATGGTTCGCATACCCATCTGAGGGGAAGATGGAGGACTCATCCGCCTAAGTGGAGATGGGGAGGCTTGAAATTTCTTGACACCAAATGGACGATGAACTTGTGAGGGTGAGGAGGGTGGACTGGGTCTCCTAATTGAGGCACGAGGAGACTGTGGTGGGCTCCTCCTCCGGATAGATGCACGAGGTGAAGCTGGAGGACTGGTATAGAGAGATGGAGATCGTGAGGGCAAACGGCCAGGCATTGGCTGGGGAGATGGTGGTGCCTCTCTAAAGGATGCCTGAGGCTGCAAGCGTCTAGGGACTGTTGGTGAAGCAGGTGGACCTTCTCTAAATGGAACCTGGGGCTGCAAACGTCTAGGGACTGTTGGTGAAGCGGGTGGCCCTTCTCTAAATGAAGCCTGAGGCTGAAAACGTCTAGAAAGTGTTGGAGAAACAGGTGGGCTCATTTTGCGTCCAATTGGAGATGGAGGGTGTTGAAAATGACTTATTGGAGAGGACATACCTCTGGCTAGTCTTGGGGATGGAGGTGCTCCCATGCCTCCAATGCCACGCAGAGAGGGCTGTGGGGATGGGCTTCTTCTCATAGGGAGTGGAGCAGCAGGATACATGGATAGCTGCGGGGAGGCATGGGGGCTCGGTCTGCGTATAGGTACGGGGGAACGTCTAACTTCCATTACCGGCTCTCCAAAACTTGACATAGGTTCCATGGGTGCCATGGGTGACATAGGCTTATGCAGAGGGGAGGCCATACCTGGCATAGACCTCCTGCTTGGTGTGGGAGATGGTGGAAATCCACCAGCTTGAGCCATATGTGACATATGTTGATTGACAAATCCCTGGGGATTATTTGCTTGCTTAATTAGCATGGCTGTTGGTGAGGGCACTTGAGGCATTGTGGGATGAAACATTTCTTGAGGA